TCATGTACCCAGTATCATGTACCCAGTTTCATGTACCCAGTATCATGTACCCAGTTTCATGTACCCAGTATCATGTACACAGTATCATGTACCCAGTATCATGTACCCAGTATCCTGTATCCAGTATCCCGTATCCAGTATCCAGTATCCTGTATCCAATATCCAGTATCCTGGTTCCTGGGACCAAAATGTTAGCTGTTAGATATTTTTTTGTTTTTGTTTTATAACAAGTAAATAGAGTTAGATAGCCCCTAATAGACGAAAATATTTTAAAATCCACTTTTGTTTACAATTGACCGAATGTTTGGATCAAAATCATGGTCCTCAGAGATAAGATTGATCTTGATAGAAAAGTTGGGATATTATTTGTATTTTCAATAAAGTGAACAGTCCCTTTAAGCTTAATTTAAAAGGTTCAAGTAAGTCAATTGAGCAATATTTGTTGACTCTCCCTTTAAACTCCTATTTTGCGAGTTTGAATCGATCAAACAAGATTTATAGCTCTAGGACCAGAAATCAATACTATCAACCTTCTTCAAGTTGAATATAGAGGGGAGGGGAGGGGAGGGTTTATAAAGAATATAATTTGTAAAATTTATTATGCCCCCTTATTTTTGTCGGTCTTTCTCATTGATATTCTGGTCATGTTGTGTCTGGAACTGTGAACAATTCTCTCTTTTTCATTAAATTAGATTATTTTATAAAAATAACTTTTTGTTTATATTAAACCTTGAATCTCTTCTTTATTGATAAACTTAGTTTTTGAAAAAAGACTCGAAAATGGCAGAAATAGCAAAGGTATAAAAAATTGACTATTTTTTATATTCTTGATCGTTGACGAACAATAGAGTTATCTGTTATGAATTAATTTCCATTGAAAACTTTTAAAATTCCGGATCGAGGTTTCTTAAATTGTGAAAATTAAGAGTCCCTTCAAACGTAATAAACGTCGTTGAACTCTTAAAAAATCTGAGACCGGTCTTTTTAGATCAGTTATCAAGTCAAGGAGGAGGGGGTTGCATATTTGGCATTCTGACATGATCTGGGGGGTCTATTTCGGGTTTCTTGATAGATTAATTTTCTTATTAATTCTTCATGTTTGACCATATGGTGTACATTTTAATACCTTTCTTACAGTCACTTTGAAGCTATTCCCCAAACAAAACAAGTTTCCAAATCCCAACCTGGATTATCTCCCATCCAATTCATTATTTACAAAAGTTAAGTGTAAAGAGAGGGTGGGGGGGGGTGAAACGCAGACAATACTTTTTATAAATAAAACAATCTTTAAGTAAATAAATTAAAATTCTCAAATTCACTACATAAACAAAGGGGAACATAAAGAAGTTGTTTTAGGATAAATATATTCAGGGGGAGGATCCTTTTATCATAAGGAAAAATATGTCAACAAAAAAACGAAGGGGGCCGGGTAGGATTGAGTTAAAAATAAATAAATAAAGTTATATAGTTGTTTTCCTACTAAGCTAACACCCTTCTGTTTGATGAAGTTGCAAAAAATGTGCTATCTCATGCAAAATTGGATAGACACAACAGTTAGTATTGCTTTAGGGGGTATACTTCCATTTAATCCATGCATACCCCCGCCCCCCACTCCGAAAAAATAATTAAAGGATTTTTGTACTTAATTAGTCATAATCCAGTTGTCAGATTGTTATTTGATTGCGGTATAAATGTATACATAGATAAATATTTCATATATTCTCGTTCATATTTTCATGAATTAAATATCTCTGTATGTTTATTTGTTTGAATGTCTGATAATAATTACGAAACCCCTTTGGACCAATTTGTCTAAAATGTTGATTTGGAAACTCTATAGAACCCCGGGAATATTCTTAGCCTGGTTTAAATATTTCTTAAAGTTGATTGGGTCGACTGTAAATGCAAAAATATAGTTTCCAGGCAAAGCTGGGTTCCCAAGCTAGTTATATATCTTTAATTTTAACTGGACAAATTACTTAGTAAAAACATTAATTATCTAACTACTATCTTCTTGATATAAATTTTTAATTGTTTTACTAATTAAATAGTTGATTTTACTTGTTCAAATTGTTGTTAATACGTTAAATAAATGAGATTAGAGGAAAGGGGTTTGTTTAAATTTTAGAGTGACGTATTCCGTAAGAAGGAGAGGAAAGCTGACCACAACAATTTCTATTCCGAGCCACCTAAAAATCTTCGTCATTCTCAATATACTCTTTTGTTACAAAATATTCTCTGTAGTTTTTCGACTTTTAAAAAGCACCACAAAAATCTCTAAAGGTTCCAAACACTTCAATAAAGTATTCTGTTAAAGTTTGCATTTTTCCAAGAAAAATATAAGCATTTTCAAAAAACCGATCGTTAATTGTTAGTTTTTTTAGGGTTAAGACTTGGCACATAGTGTAATGAAAGCAACTGTTTCAACTTTTTTATAAGCGTTTAAAATTCAACAAAACTATTTTTAAAATAAGAATTAATTTATTGCCCATCACTACTTCTAAGATGTGCATAATAAATTTATATGTTTCAGGAGTGTACAGCTGTGAAATGTGTGGCGACTATTTCCGTAGTATTACGAGCTTGTCCAATCATAAAACTAAATGTAGCAAGGGGAAGCATAAATGTCTCCGATGCTGCATGCATTTCAGAAATGCAATATTTCTCAACAACCACGAGTGCAAAATTCCGCAAGTTTTTGCGAGAAAATCCGCGCCCAGTGCAGTGGATAGTGACATTGAACAAAATAGCGGCATTGAGCAGAAATGGGACATTTCTCAGAAAAGTGTTTCAAGTGAAAAAGGTGAAAATGAAAGAGATGAATGTAAAGACAATGGATTCCAGTGCACCAAGTGTAACTACAGGTAAAATTGTAATATTTAGGAAAATAAGAATTTCATCATTTCAAAATTATATATCAATAAAGTTTCCCCTTGATTATTCAATTCGAGAAAAAAACTTAATTTTTTTGCTTTTTTATATTTAAACAAATGCATTTACTATCTAAATAATCTAGGGAAAAACTGCACGAAATGTCACAGCGTGGGAATATACAAATAAAACTATTTATTTTTATCAGTGTTATTATCTAACCCAAAAGAAACCTTGAATTTATGTTCTAATTGGTTCTAAACGCAGAGTTTCCAGGTTTATTGGCGGTTTTTTTTTAATTTAAAAAAACTAAATTTTGAGGTTCGTCCTTTGTAAAATTGGGGTCCGATTGGTTCAGCCGTATAACATTGATATTATAGAAATAACCAAACAGACAGACTAGTCAAACATATTCATTGATTATTATTATTTTATCTTAATTTTAGGTTTATGTCGAATTCGAGCTTGCAGTCGCATCTTCAAATCTGTCTTGGAAACAATTATATAAATGAAGAAAGGTAAAATATAATTTAATATGATTTGTTCCTATAGATTTTTGGATTTCTTAAATTTTGTTATTTTTAGTTTTAATGTAATTTCATTTATTTTGGAAGTTGTGTCATGTTAACACCCCTTTCTAGTTAAATATCGAAAACCATTTTGATATTTGTTCAGTCGTAATTAGAAATTTTACAGAACTAACGGCGGCTTATAATGAGGGGGANATTTCCCAAATTTATGAATATTTGTAGATTCCTGATTTTGGTGGTGAGAGAATCTTTATCCTAACATGTCCTATCACCATCCCAAACCTTGCTAAAATTTCAACGGCCAATGTAAAAATCGTCCTATTCTCTGAATCTAAAATGTCCAGCCACGAAATCGTAAAACCGTCCAAAGGCCAATGGCCATTTAATAGGGATTGTTATATATTCATCATTTATATTTGTCTAAAGCAAAATTACATTAAACAATATAAAAGTTTACAATTTAATACTATAATACTCTTTTCTCTGGATATCGCATTTAATGATTGACAGGGTTTGCCAAAAAACAGGTGCAATACAAGACTTTTAGCATGAGTATAGTTTAGATATTCAGAGGTGGTTTTCAGAAATGGGGTTTCTTGGTCCCAGTCTAGTGTTTTTTGTTTTCTAAACATGTGGTATGATGACAGTACTGCAAGGCTTGATAGATTTTCGCACATTGCTTTGAAACTAACACGGGGTTTGCAGAACTTATGCAGTTTCTTTAGATTTGCTTTATTTTATGGTGAGATATATCCTAAACAGACACATCCCTAGTTGATATATCTGTGATAAAATGTTCATACTTGTTCATCTTTTGAGTGTTGGCATTTTTGATATTTGTTTCCAATGGGACAGTAAGCTCAAAAATATCCATCTTTTACTCTGGAAGGGTATGGGACGGGATGTCGGCATACATCAAAAATCGGTCAATATCAATTAGTTCCTCCAAGTATATCTTTTTTTGGTGTAGTGCAACTCTGCAGCCATTCAAAATATGGTTTGTAGTTTCTTGTCTTCTACCTTGCAATTCAGCGCCTGCCTGTAAACATTGTTTACAGAGATCTGATGCAGATTTTCCCTATTGAAGAAGGTTAGCAGGGTGTCCGAACAGGAGTTGAGTAGAAATATCAGTGTACCTTTCTTCATAATTGTCCAGCCACGAAATCGCAAAACAGTCCAAACGCCATTTAATAGGGATTGTTTTTTATGTTTTACTCTACAGAATCAAACTCAACCTATTTTATTATTAAAATATTCATTCGATTGAACGAAGATAGAACAAAAAAGTTGGATTTTTGTTAATAACTTTAATTCCTGATTAATGGTCTAATTATAAAATACACAATACTAACGGAAAAAATAAGCTTTTTGTTCATAAAGAAGAGTTTATGCGGTACGTTGTGGTTTTCTTCGATATAGATCAAATGTACTCGAAGGTAACCCTAAGTTTGTTCAGTACCGTATATCCATTAATAGTGTTTCTCTCTACAGTGAGAACTGGAATTCTTCAAAAAGCAGAAAAACGAGTTTTTGAATATTTTTTTTTCAGGACTGAATCTGAACTTGCATCAACCACAAAGTTAAGAACATCATTTGATTCCAGCAGTTTACCCATCACAGATACGCCTTCTACTCCTTTCACCCAGGTTAACCCAGCCACGCCCACCAAGAGCTTCACCTCGGTGTTCTCCCGAACCAGCAGCACGGAGAGTAGGGAGGGGGAGGGCGAGGGAGGGGGAGGAGAAGGAAGAGAAGTAGGAGAAGGAGGAGAGGGGAAGGATTTAACTCCCAGAAAATCCTGGTTGAAAAAACATCTTGATAGTGTTAATCCAGACGTTCATGACAGCCAACAGAAATACCAACCTCTTCAACAGCGGTTGGTTGAGCCTAGGCAACAACATTCACAGCTGTTGCTTGAGCCAAGACAGCAGCAATCACAGCTGTTGCTTGAGCAAAGACAGCAGCAACCACAACTGTCGCTTGAGCCAAGACAACCGCAATCACAGCTGTCGCTTGAGCCAAGACAACAGCAATCACAGCTGTCGCTTGAGCCAAGACAACAGCAACAGTTGTTACTGGATTCTAGAAAACAGATGAAACCGGTTTACATCATTCCACAGGTTGTTTTTTAAACCTTATTTAGAATTTGAAATAACATTGAAATTTTTTCAGTGGGAGAGAGGTTACAAGCCCCAAATCATATTTATCCAAAAATAACTGATATTTTTGGCGAAATCATTATTATAAAATCATGTTTTCTGGTAAATTTTGTTAGGGTTTTTTAATGGTTTATTTCTTTACTTGACTTAAAATTTGATGCAACGGATTTGTTTAACAAGATACAGTTCTCCAGGTTTATATCCTATCCCCTTGCTAAAAGAGACTGAATGGGTAATTTCCGGTGACCCGCCATGCAAAGATATTTTCGATTTTTAGGTTCAAAAGTGCTTAATCTGGTAATTCTTTCATGTTTTCCTGCCGTAGAAATGCGCAAGTTACTTATGTAGAGATATCACATTTGAAAATAACCAGTTTCAAAATTATAAACATAGATATCTAATCGATACTTGATCAGACAAAGCTTTTAATAGTACTGTCGTGGATCAGGCATTGACATCTTTGCATGGAGGGAGGCCCACTTGATGTTACGCTTACGGTTACTTAATTCAGATTGAATAAGTTAGCATTTCCAGCTACCTCCTTCTGTCATGATATTGAAGTCATTTTTTAAAATAATTATCTAATCTATGATAGAAACTGCATTTTTGCCACAAACTCAAATTTCTCATCCCTATTTGTTTACAACATGATAGGCTTAAACTTTGATATTTCAAACTTAGACTATTGAATCATATTTGTTTACAACATGATAGGCTTAAACTTTGATATTTCAAACTTAGACTATTGAATCATATTTGTTTACAACATGATAGGCTTAAACTTTGATATTTCCAACTTAGACTATTGAATCATATTTTTAAATATCAAAGGTTTTACAACGTCGGGTTGCAAAAATATAGGAATTATAAAATCAGAGTTTGTGGCAAGAACTCGGGATTAATAATGATCATTTTGGCAGAAATTTTCCGATTATTATTATTTTATCAACGGACAACCCTGTAGTCGGTTTACATTGAAATAATCAATTTTGAATTAATTGCATCAATCTCTTAATAAATTGTTGATCACTTGATTTTTTATTGAAAAATGAAAAAGTTTCATTTCTTAATTTCTTTATTTTGTAACATTAATTTAGCATCTCGTGACAATTTTTCCAATACTATTCTTATCTACCCTCTTTCAGGGAAAAATTACTAATTTAAAACAAATCTTACTTCAATCTAGCTCAATTTTGTTTCCAGTGAAAGAATGTTTTAATTTTGAAGTTTTGTTTTTGTTTAACTTTATAAAAAGTATTTACCCCGGTATTGGTTAGTATATTGATCAACGACAAGGTTCAAGGTATCAATTCATTACCCTCCACCCCTCTATTACCTTTATATTGTCAATATATTTATATAATTTATATATATATATTTCAAGTATGGTATACAATCGTTAAGTTTCTAAAAAGATGGCGTTTTTACATTTCTGATCAGTAATCATTATACCTATCCAATACATTGTCAAAATCAAACTATATAACCCCCCCCCCATCCATACCTTCTATATATGATTTGAATTATACGAAGGTTTGATACCTGTTTTTGTAAGAATAGCGTTTGTGCAATGCACACATATAATCACTTATCATTATATCTATCAAATATATTGTCAACACCAAGTTACTTTAACCCCTTCCCCCTCTATGCCTTCATAATCATATAGATAATATATATCTATATATAAATTTGGCTTGTCTGTCTTTCTGTCTGTTTGTCTGTTTGTTTGTTTGTATCCAATAAACGTCAAAACGGCTGAACCGATCGGGCCCAAATTTTTTGTGGGACATCTAGGGACCCCAGGGAAGGTTTATGAATGATTGAAATTTTAAAAATTTGTGTTTAAAAGTTTTTTATTTTTGTAATATTTTGAAAATGCACGAAAAAATATTATGAAATCCGCAAACTTTTTTTGTTTTTGTTTTTATTTTATACTGTACTAAGAGAAGATGCTCACAGATAAAGCCACAATTAAAAGTTTAAATAGAAGATGGGCGCGAAGCACCCTGAATTTCTAGTATTATATAAATGGTTAAATTGTTTTATGTAAATTGCATAGTATTAAAATTATAGAAAAGCGTTTCTGCCATTTTCCTGACTAATATTAGTTACCATTATACCTATTTAATATTTATAACACCAAGCTATTTTAATCCCCCCCCCTCTCGCTCAATCCCCTCGCTCACCCAATCCTGTCAATTTTGGTGATTTCTGACTCCGATATAAAGATAAAATGATAAACCGCGACCAACATTGATACATATTTAATTTACTGAATATAGTGTATTTTTTTTTTTATGACGTCCCTGAGGAATTTGGTTAATTAATTTGACTTATTTAGGAACCGGAGGAACGGCCGGACGGATTCTCTTCGGCCAACCCTTCTTCATCGTCAGAGGACGAGGACTCTCCCAAGAAAGTGAAGAAATCTCCTAAACCTCGAGGTCGACCTCCCCTCCGACTCTCTGAGTCCCATGATGACCGGTCAGGGAAACAGGCCGGAGTCAAGTCAGGACCCAACTCTCCGGAGCTGGATAATCCAGAGTTATTCTCCGGAATATCCTCCGGTCTCAAGAAAAGAAGAGGACGTCCTCCCGGCTCTAAAAACAAACCTAAGAACATGAAAACCCCGGATGGTAAGAAGAAGACGAATGTCATGAAATTACCGAATACTCCGAGTAAGACGGAACCTTGTCTACTCCTTACTCCCTCTCCACCCAACCATACTCCAGGTCAAGCCTCCTCAGCTCTAAACTACATCCTCGAGCAGGATAAACCCGGGCTCAGCTACGGATTGGCTCAGCTGGGTTCAAGATTGGATGATCTCACGAGGACAAGTAATCAACCTCGACGACTGAGCGAATCCTCGGAGTCTGGCGTGGAAGATAATCGAAGATTGATTTCTCCGGAGGATGGTCGGAGGCTGAAATCTCCGGAGATTCTAGTCTGTTCTTCAAAGCCTTCAATCTCTGGATATGAAAACGAGTTCTTGAAGCATATGAATCAACAGACTAGTATGCATGAAGGGGTTGAGATACTCGATGATGATCTGGGAGATATTGCAGAAACTGTAGAGATCTCTGGAGATGCACCTGAACCTATCCTAGAGAGGGTTCAAGAGTCGGAGGTATATACTTTTATAATCAAATAAAAAAGGGTTTAAAGTGGCTGTAAGTCTAATTTTAAGTGCCCTGCAATAGTGGCAATGCCCGATTTATACCGGTACCTTATAAAGTATTTTCTGATCAAGGAAGAATTAGATATCCATGTTTTAGTTTCTTAAAACTTTTTTTCATTTTCGGTTTCTCTGCGAAAGTGACTTTCGGATTTATTGCTTTTAAGAATCGATGGAGAAATTGTCGTGATTAAAAACGTTACGAGTAAGAAAATCAAAGTTGCCCTTTCATTTCTGATCAGATTAAGGTTTCAAGGGTACCGTTGTAAATCTGACATTGCCATCTTTTTATGGAGGGTCACTTGAAATGACGACCCTTTAAATCTGTTTTTTTTGGATATCATTTGAGCGTTTTGAAATCATCATTTGGTTTGACGTCCCATATCAAATAAAATGTATTAATGTAACTGATACACAATTAATAAGGTATCATCATTTACATTATTTGGAGATTAACCCTAATTTATACTATACATATTTATATTTCAGACTTATGCATTTTACGCAACTAAACATTGATAAAAAAATACGTTATTAACAATCCTGACATTTAAAATAAATAAAAATATTTTTAATTTAATTTTTTGTTATTTAAATAACACAAAAAATTTATAATATGATTTACAATTTTAGGTGAAAGATGTATTTGCATTTACTGATGATGAGAAGTACGTATCTCAGGGGCTGACGGAGGACAAGTTTAGTCCTCCTAGGCATAGAGAGGACAGCCTAGACTCAATCTGTCCTAGGAATGGGTTCCAAGACAGACGGCGGGACAGTCAAGATTCCATAGAATCAACATTTTCAAGTCAGGGTTCTATTCTCTCACGTCGGGATAGTTTTGATTATCCACAAACTATCCTTTCAAGGCGAAATAGCAGAGACTCTACAACCTCGTTGGTTTCTCTCCTATCTGAGGGAAAGAAAGATTTAGCTGATTCTCGTCCTGTCTCTATGCTGTCAAGTAAACCTGAGAGTCAAGTGTCTTCTGTACGATCAAGGAATACCAGTGTAGGATCCGTTGTATCTCGTCGGAATAGCGCTGTTTCCCACAAATCAGGAGCTAGTGTGCTGTCTCAAGTTTCCAAGAAATCCTTTGATAAATCTAGAAGGGATAGTTGTGATTCAACTAGCAGATCAACATCAAGAAGATCAAGGAAGGATAGTTTGAGATCTCACGAGGATCGTTCTCCATCTGTAAGATCACATAGAACAACTGATTCCAGGCGAAATAGTTCAGCCTCTCCCAGATCAAGGAGTTCGTCCTGTGTATCCCGCTCCTCTTCAATTGGACCCTCTAGATCAGTTTCTTATTCTTCACGTAAAGATGTCTCCTGCTCTTCGCTGAACACTCCCGACTCTCCGACTAGAAGTAACTCCTTAAGTAATGCTACTAGTCGGGTAAGTAGTCCTGAACCTTGTTCTCCCCCCAACCCCCCTCTTCCCATCCCGAAACTACGAATTCCCAGAGCACTGATTCAACCTTTGAACAAGGATTCCTGCTATAAACGTGTTGAGATCAGAGAAGGACGGAGAAACTCAAATTCCAAATCTAGAACTAGCAATATAATTGCACAACAGCTTCGCAGTCTAAACTGCAGGGTAGACTTAGAGAAATTGAACTTAAGGGTAAGATTTATTTCAATTGATTATATTTTAAATACAAATACATCTTTGTTATTTATTCAAAAAAATTATATAATTTAAATCATTTTAATTGTGATATATTTCAGGTGTTAGAAAGGTCTCCGAAGAAAAGTTCTAAAAATTCTGTGAAAATTCATCAAGCTGACCTCTCAATGCTCAAAACTGGGAAAGTAAAATCCACGAAATTGTCACGTAAATTACGCAAGGTTTCAACTGAATTAAAGGAAAGACCTCCAATTGCTCCAATAAAGATTCGGTTAAAGAACAATCGTGCAGAAACTGTTCAAAGTACAGGAAAGAGTCTCATATCAGTTTTAGCTGAGATAATCAAGGATAAAACCCCTAGAACGGTTCCGGAGAAAACTTACATTGATTATCCAAACTTCGATGTAAAGCCAGTAGTGGGGAAAACATCCGAGATAGTGATGAAAAATAACAACCTTTCCAGTACGGTGTCTGCCATAGCTACCCTCTTCAACACCAAACTATGTCAGGATATTCTTCTTGATTTACTTGAGACAATTGTGGAGCCTAGAGAGTTATCAAATCAACTTATTGACACAGTTCTTAATGATGTGATTGTTAATTCTGAAGTTAAGATAAGTGAAAGGATTCAAGAAGTCAAGGCTGAATCTAATGAGACCAGTGGAGTTGAGACTGAAAGTGTGAGGTGTATTCAACCAGTCGAGGAAATAGTTTCACAAAACCTGGATTTAAATAGTTCAATTGAAGCGATGTCATCCCCTCTGCGCACTGAAACTAGTGTTACAAGTCATGTTCTAGATTTATTGAACGGCTCAAATATGGACTCAGAAGATCTCAAAGATGAAATGAAGATTTTAGAAGCTGTACCTCCACCCAAAATAAAATCTTCAGATAATACAGAAACTAGTTTCAAAACTTCCTTAAGCGCCAGTTCATGCAAACAAAAGATCGTTGTCAAAATTCCTAAGTTGCATTTAAGTCTAACCAAATTAAATCAGGAACTGAAAACATCAAAACCAAAACTTCCATGTGTAAAAATCAAGCCCATCCCCCTACCCTCCTTAGAAGAAATCGAGTCAAATAAAAAATTCAAGATTAAGATCAAGAAAAAGGTTGATAAACTAACAGTTCGTCTGAAGGGAAAGAAAGCTGCTAAGATTGTGAAAAACTCTAGAATGTTCCAGAAGAAGCGAATTCTCCCGGCTAGGAAGGCTTCTTTGCCCCAATCCCAGGAAACTCCCGTGCCAGAAACCGCTAAAGTTTCTTGTGTAACAGTTCTGAAAATGTCCGAAATTGTTAAAATGAAACCAAAAGTTCTGAGTAAACCAATTTTAACCAACTTGTCCGTAGAATCAAGGTTAGATCTTGTTTCACAAAAAGCTGAAGAAAGTCAAGGAAAGAGTACACCCAATCCTTGTGAGAAGCCTGTAGAAGTTAACACAATTCAATCTATCCAAATCCCTGATTCTTCACAGACCCAGCTCATCACACCTGAGAAGCAAAACGTTGAGGAGATCCCTGAATTGTTGGATGAGTTTGCTAGTGATGAAATGGAAACTAGCACTAGGAAGGTTACTGTTAAAGATCCCCTGGGACCAAACAAGCTTTCTCCCAACAATTTTAAAACAATGATCAACGGAATAAAACCTTTAAAGAACAGTACTGAGACAGAAAATCATGTGACACCTGTAACCAAGAAGATCAGCAATGCTGAATTTGTCCCAGAGAAAAAGAAAACGAAGAAGATACCTGAGATAAAACTCTCATCCGTGAAAAAGAAGAACAAGAAGAAATCCGGTGAACATATTCCCAAGAAGGCCAAGGAAAAGATAACCAAGGTTGAACCAATACTGGAGAAGAAGAAGACTGTTGTAGAACTGATCATGGAGAAGATACCTCCACCTCTTATCCAAGCCGTACCTAGCGCTTTACCTTCTAAAGCGAGGAGAAACTCCAGTAGTCAACGGAAGGAGGGTTGGGTAACTAGTACCGGATCCCATCTGGTTGCTAAGAAATCACTCCCGGAGGAGACGGTTACCTTCTCAATACCTCCAGGGGGCTTCAAAGGAGAGCAGTCTGCAGAAAGTGTTCCATGGTATAAACGTGTTGATGAACTATTTCTCCAGTTTTATCCTGGATCAGTGCGGAGTCCTGAACCCGAGGTTCCAGCTCCAGTATCTGCTGTTCTAGACTCTATCATGACTCGGGTACATCAGATAGCAGAGGAGAAACTAGAAAGAAGAATATCTCAATGTATAGGTGGTGGAAGAGCAAATAGTAGGATGGATAATCAGAGATTAGTCTCAAGTAAGGGTATTCAGGCTGTCATAGATTTAGCTAAATATGAGACAGGCGATAAGGGAGAGTGTATACTAATGGATCAATTCTGGCTCACACCAGATGATTTCCTTCAGAAAACTGGAAACCGGAGTAAGAACCACAGAAGAAGTATTAGTGTAGAGGGAGCAGAGTTAGGAGTTGCGCTAGAGAAATGGAACAGTGAGTGTTCTGCTGAAACCCTAGATAATGATCCAATCCCTGATGATCTTAGTCCTAAAGCTAGCACTGAAGTAGAAATTGGGAAGGAGGTTGACCTGAAATCAGACAAAGGTCTTGAGACTGATAAATCCAGACCCAAAAATACAGGTATTGTGTCTCAACTATATATTAGTTAAATTAAATTAGTTTTTGTCAGATATATATATATATATACATATTCTTTAAGTGTTCCAAGTTTTTTTATTAAACCATTTTTACATAAAATTTACTTTTAAAAATGTCTATTTCTGGACTTTGTAGCAATGGTTTTCTTTAATTCTAATCTAAGACTATTTCTAATAACTGGTTAGTGAATTGGTAAGAAAAGTTTAAATGTAAATTCAGTAACCCTTTATTTTAAATAAGTGTGGTATGTCCGATTCACAATGGTATCCTTCTATTCACTATCTCAGAAACTAAGATCAAAATATCGATGTTTTTTATATTTGTTGACTTCTGTAATCTACCCAAGTTATTTTATTAGATTGACAACAATAAGAAACACTTAATTTTTACCCAGACAAATTAGATTATCTCATTCATTCTTGATCAGACAAAGGTTTTGAGGGTACCGTTGTGAATCTATACAAATGGAGGGTAACTTTCAATTACGGCTCCAGTCTTAATTAATCAATTATACTTTGCCTAACTTAAAACTCTAATCAATTGACTAACTTTATTTATGTATATTACAGCTATCGGGGATATATGTAAGTACAAATATATTTATTTTGCACTAGACACAATACATGTGTTAACATGTTATTATTACTTCACTTCTGCACAAACACGTGACTGGGCCTGGTACACACTAAAAACAAACAAACAAACTAAACACCGCCTAAAAGTTATTTGAAGTCAATTTTAGTTTGTCGATAAGACGCTTAATTTTTTGATATAATTTTTCAAAGAAGGGTTTTAGAAAAATCGCGACAAATAAGCATAATTTAGATCAGAGTGACCGGGTGTACTTTTGTTGGTATTTAAAGAGTGATCTATATTCAAAGCAATCAGAAACTACATTTTAAACTTATAGCATTGTTGAAACTTTATAATTGCATTTTGTAATGTATGAACCCAATTATTTTATTTCTATGTTTGAACTTGCTACAAGCATGGGATATGTATTTCAATTCAATAGATATTTTGAAAACACGTGTTAAAATAAAATATGGATATTTGTAAACAGAGTTACTCTAATACCGTCTGATATGGAACATGTGTTCACTTTACATTTTATTTTAAGTGTACTCTTATACAATATTATTCACATATTTAAAAAACTAACTTACAGATATACAGAGCATCCCATATCATATTGGATTATCTCCCAGCTTTAACACCAAAATACGTACATAATACTCGATCAAAATCTGGTATTTTCTACATGAAAAGTTTTATGTACATTTTTTAGAATATTTTTTCTTAAATCTCAATTTAGACCTATAAATGATCTTGATTTGGACAACTCTGTAGCTAACCTTAAATCTCAAAGGCAACAAAATTTTATTTTTCATATAATATCTTAAATATAAGAACTTAAAATGATAAAATGCTAAAGAAATACGAAGCTCAGTACACACATTAGGAATAACATTTTACTGTTTACAGTGTATATATTCATGTTATCGGAAAGCAAGCATAGGATGTAATGTACACAAAACACGCAGTACAGTACACATTACGGTACATTATTCACTCTATGTATAGTACACTTTAACGCCGTGTAATACAAATTTGGAGTTGAATTCTACTGCTAAAAGTTTTAACTACATTTATTCATGTTATATGAACGTAAGTTCACATGATATTTTGTACATGGTACATGTAGTTCAGTACACTTTACTTTACACTACACAGTACACATGTCCAAATTTGTTGAATAGCAAGAAGCAGATATACTCGTAGACTAGGTTAACCCACTTCTCTTGAACTATGATTACTGCTGCAAGAAAAGTGATTTAACGTAGTTTATGAGTTTCAGTTTGATCACCTCTGAGGTTCAGCTATATAACACTTCAATACCGCGTTCTTCTATCTTAGCGTTGAATTCTACTGTTAGTAGTATAAACTAAATAACTTAATGTTATCTGAAAGTAAACATAGGATAGTGTGTCACCTGTAGTGTTTAGTGTTTGTTGTAAATTCGCCAGTATTCTGGGATTTACTTCACCACATACATATATATTTATATACAATTAACATTATTCAAAATATATAAAATATTCCTATTCTTCAAGAACTGTAGAATTTAGACATAATTTAAAGTGACCCTCCATTCAAAAAGGGCCATAGATAATTCATAACACTACCCCTAAAATATTATATAATTAATGTCATCTTTTATCTAGCTGGAAAACTCTTTAATCAGAACAATTTACTTAAATGTTTCTTTAGCATTAATGCGGAGATTAATCTTATATCGTTGTGAGTTTAGCATGCTTTTTATAACGACCTGGGCACTTGAAACTACGTTCACAGTCCCTTTAAGAAAGCGAAGTGCAATTCACACTAACTTACAAATAAAAATTGGAACTTAGTGACATTGAAAATATGAAAGCTTGCGGTTTAAAACGACACTATAGAACATACTTATACAACTAAGCTTAAGTTTAAGCAAATTTGTTATTTGTTTGAAGATATATTTTGCCCTTTTTTCTGCTTGAAGTGCTTAAAAATTTAGTGTTATTATTTTGTGACGGATTGAATAAGAATATATCTTCAAGCTTTTGCAGCATGTGGATTTATATGTTGCTAAGGAAAAATAAACTAAGACTTCAAATGATAAGGTTTATAACAAAAAATATTAAATAAGATTAGAAATTTTAATGGAAAATTTTGGTTAACGCAAAATCTAGTTTTTCTGTTTTTCTATAGCCCTTGAACTAATAAAAAAGAGCTTTTTATCAAAAATTAAAAATCTTATAAAACTTGAAGAAGACAGATATTTCTTTTTTCTTGTTTACATAAATTGTGTTACTTGAGGAAAAAAACTACGTTTACAACAATCGTTGATTTTTGGAACACAAATGTTAAAAACTCATCAGTCCATGGGTGTCTGTTCTTTGATGAAAAAAATATATTATTTGTATTTAAAAGTGTTGACAAGTTTTAACACTTTTTAAGAACTTTTAAAAATCGTTTACAGAACATTTGATAAAATAAATCTGTACTTTGATAAAAAAAATGAATAATATTTTTTGAGTTGCACTGCGTTACAATTTACACTTTTCCCAATAAACATTCAACATAAACACAAGTTTTACACACTTGACACTGCACTTGATTTATTGCTTTACATCACGCATTAGAAAAATATTTTTTTTTCACATGTAGCAAATTTTCAACCAGATATTTCGTATTTTAACATTGTTTTTTTTCATTTGATGTTATTTTTGTTTCCAGGTTTGAATGGAGGATACTGGGATGTGATTGGAGTCCGAGGTGTTGTCCGAGAGACTCTGGAGAAACAGGAAACCCTTGAGAAGCAGGTTGAACCTTCTCCGCCTGCTCCCGAGAGTACAAGGAGACGGAAGCTGAGTAAAGCAGATTCTATAGATAGTAATTCCTCCGGTGGTTCAACCTCCTCTAGGAGTAGGAGGAAGGATGGAAGAAAGAAAGACATGGAGAAGAGTGTTGACGTGAAGAGAAGAAGAGTTTCTGGACCCTGTATCAAACCTAAGATTTGCGAAGATAAACCCGTGTTAATGATCCAGGATCTAATCAAAACTGAAGCTTCTGATCAGTCACAGAGCCCAGAACTAGATTTAGACAAGATACCTGAGCTGGATTTAGACAAGATTCCTGAGCTGGATTTAGACAAGATTCCTCAGCTGGATTTAGACACCATGAAAACACAACCTGGTAAACCTTCTGTTTCTCCAGATATATCCACTAAACTTGAAACTGAGGATAGTAATATAAAGAAGAAAGAATTAGTTACGGAGACATTATCTAAGAGTCATGATTTAAACCAAGAAAATGTTTTTACCTCCTGTGCCCATCAATCATACCTAGTCAAGAAGGAAGATATTGAAAGTATGAAAGTTAATGCAGAAGAAGTTGGAAAATTGGAATCCCGTGAAAAAGAAGAAAAAGATACGAAATTGGATTCTGTTGACAAAGCAGAAGAAGAAAAGAAATTTGAATCCCGATGTTGGAAGCCATGTTCCCCTGTTGTAGAGGACGAAATTGATACCAGCAAACTAGCCTCTAAACAGGCCACAAATCAAGGTACAGGTAAAACCAGTGATAAGGGTTCAAACAAAGGTCTAGGTTCAGGAGTAAAAGATGAAAACCAAGAGCTGGGTGAATTTAAATCTGAACCTTGCAAGGACGTAAGCCTTGAGCCCGTGTCCTTGCTAGATGTCGGAGAAAGCCTCAACCTATCCCTGGATACTGAGGATGGTTGGAATGGATTAAGTATCAAGGATGAGATCACAGACTTGGAGGATAATACTGATATATGGGCGAGCACTATGGATATATTTAAATCTATGGAAGAAAACATGAAATCCAATTCAATTCCTCAACCTCAACCCATTCCAGCCACAGCCCAGATAAAACCTGAGAAACACAGAACTGTTAAACCTGAAGGCGATAGATCCAGCTCCAGGTCTGAGATAAAGTCTGAAACTAGTCGAAAGAGAACCTGGAGAATAGGTTCCGAGGATACCCCTGGGAACCCAGATAGTGGAAAGGAGAACACGGATCTGGAGAACCTTAGTTCTGGATCTAGAACCTCGTCTCCGTCCACGAAGAAGAGAAAATCCCATCCTTTTACTTCCCACTCCTCCTACCCCTCCGGTTCAACCGATAAACCTTCTGATAAGCGCAGTCGTTCTAAAACAGACTTCGTTTCTGAAACAAGAAAGTTCTCGGAGTCGCTACCGGAGCGGAAAGAAAAAATAAAACTTATCGAACCTTCAACAAATGATCCTGAGAGAAAGGATGTGGAGACGAAATCCAAGCATGGAAGAGCAAGAGCTCCCAAGCTAAACCCTATCAAGGAGAGTGTATCGAGTAAAGCTAGATCTAAATCTATCTCCAACCCAACTCCTCCGTCCAAAATATCGTCCAAGCAAGATAAACTCGCTAAGTTCCTGGATAGAGAATATGAACGGGAACTAAATAAAGGGAAACCTTGCAAAAAGTAAGCGTGAACATTTACTGCAAGTGTTTGTGCCTTTCTTCTTGAAAAATAATTTGTTGTGCCTTCATTCACGTGTATCCAATAACTTGTGATTTGTTTCATAATCATTTAATTTGAGTCCTTGAACCGTACCTGCTCTTTTTAATAAATGTACGTCCGAGCTTGTTTTTATCCTAAGGACTACAGAGTACAGATTAGTGTCTAGTTGTAAAGACTGAATATGTGGTTCACCATAAAAATATTTGCGCAATTTTTTCTGCTACCATATTTTTAATTGTCTGTTTATTATAGAACGATGTTAGCTCAGTGCAGTCCTGTAGCTTGAGTTTAACTTTATATGTAATTTGTTCTCAAATAAAATTGCATTAGTACATTTGTTAATTTATAATCTTTGATATAATATAAGTGAATGAAATTCGAGATTATTAATTATTCGCCAATAATTGTGAAATGAAAAGTAAATAACTTAATATGCTAATTTTCCATAACTGCATCAGTAAGAAACTTAGCACCCACCATAAGCTCTAAAAATATATTCCCTTCATTTTGGATCCTGATATTTTAAAGTATGTCGAAGACAATATAATTGACCTTCAGTATTTATAGAAAGAAATACAAGAGGTTAGGACATCAAGATGCAAATATATTAGGGTTAGGAAAGAAGTATTAGATCAAAAGCTTCCATACACTAGAAGTACATGTGCGAGGAATGAGAGATTACAATTCCGGTGTCATGCATGGAGCGGACTCCCCCTTAAAGTTTTAACCGTTTTATCACAATGTTAGACATAAAAAGCAATGTTATGACATTTTCCGATATGTTTTATGTAATTTGATCGGAAAAACAATGTTTCTAGGAACTATTAATTTGCAGGTTGATTATTGTAAAGGAAGACGACATTCTGGAGGAAACAATTTATTTTTCATTTTCCCCTTTTAAAATACATTCAAGAACTAAATGCGTATTTAATAAATGTCGACTAATAGTTTTAGCATTGTTTGGCTAAAACTTTAAGGAAAGTCCGTCCCATGCTTAATCGAGTCAGTTCCATCCACAACACCGGATATCCTGGATATGGGTGTCAAGTTTCATATTCTAAACAACAATGTGCACAGTGAACTCTCATAGCTTTGTTTACTGATGCTATCTCATTTGGACTGCTGCCGTTTGAACTAATGTTCATTTGAACTATTGTTCATTTCAACTACTGCACGTGGGACCACGTGAGTAGTTTAAATGAACAATAGTTCAAACGAGTAAATATATTGCTCATTTGAACTATTTTCATGTTCATTTGAACTATTTTTATATTCATTTGAACTATTTTTATGTTTATTTGAACTATTTTTATGTTCATTTGAACTATTTTTATGTTCATTTGAACTATTTTTATGTTCATTCTGTGTAATGTTTATCTAATTAATTGTCATGAATATAACTTTATGAAGATTATAAAAAAAATTTTTAAACTGAATTGGGGTAGAAAAATAGTTCAAATGAGCAAGAAATGCGTTGATTTAAACTACAGGATATGACGTCATGTCAGTAGTTCAAATGAACAATAGTTCAAACGAACAATAGTTGAAACGTACCATAGTTCAAACGGCAGTAGTTCAAATGAGAATCCACCTTGTTTACTAACCAGTCGTACAGGTTAATCTGTATTTTGCATTTGATACTACAGGCCAACAAAGGACGAGACTCATGAGACTTAACTATTTAACTATATAACTCTTTAAATGAAGTTCTGAATTTGATCCTGGGCTTTGAATATTAGTTTTGTAAACTGGATGACATGACAGTAAAGAAACACCATGTGACCTTGTATTGAAGTAATAAAGTTAACTGAGCTGAAAACTTCAGAATGAGATATCCTTAATCCGAATTACTTAATCTGTGTATCAAATGGACACACATTTGATTTTCGTTTTAAACCATTCTTTCTTGGAATGGATACAGTAGAGAAAAATCATAGACCGTTTTTTTTAATTAGAAAGTCCCTCCCGTTTCTGTATATAAATCTTAATGGAACGCAAAATTTAAAATTTTTTCGGCTTCATATACGCGACTTTGATTGGTATAATTTTATACACTTTTCAGGATACAAACACAAGATTAAGTCTCGATATTAAGAAAAAGAGAGGAGCAAGCATTAATCTCGATATTCACCATTCTGAAGTTTTCAGCTCTGAATAAATTGTGTACGTACAGTGGTCTTAAGCCTCATTGTTTGCGGATATCCCTGTACAATTTACAAGTGGTAACGAGCAAAATTTATAGAGATAAGATTTTAATTTAAAATGAAAGACCAGAAATGTGCTAGTGTGGTCCACTAACCTGATGCTATATTCAAATAAAAAGAAAGATACAGATAGAAAATTATTTAGTAGCAATCAGAACAAGAAGGTTTTGGAAACAATTTTTAAATTTTAAGAACAGAAATAGAAAAAAAGGAACAATCATAATCAAAAAATAAAAACCTCGAGCGAAATTTAAAATTAAACAATATCATAAAACATACATAAACATTAAACAATTAAAATATACTAAATTGGGGCGGGGGTGCTCAGTCATAGCTCATTTAAATAGATATATTGGGAAGGGGAGGATTGTGCTAATTTTCCGCTCCTTAAGAGACGGGGGGGGGGGGCTCTGCCCCCGTTGAGGGCTAAAAACCCCCTAAACTCAAAGCCTTCACTTTTTCAGGGGGGCTGAGCCTCCGTAGCCGCCCTCCCCCTGAATACACCTCTGTAGTCAATTATGTATTGATCTTTCCATTAGTTTCAATTCTTTTATTCATGAAGATTATGGTGTGTTTTCTAGAAAAAAGCAACAAAAATATCAGATTTAAGGAAGATATGCTTGTATTTTACCGGAGGGTCACCTGAACCTACGACGACAGCCCTTTAAGGACTTTAAGTGTCTTCTATCAATAAGAGATTTAATCCAGTATTTTTTCACAATATGTAGTTAAACAAATGTTTAGAATTTTAAGTTGAGTAAAATGTTGTTTAAAATAATAGTAAAATATCATATTATTTTATGACATGACATGTAAAAATACATCATCTCCAACCTTTAAATATCAGAAAAACAAAAGGACTTAACATAATAAATCAAACTTATTTTTTTTATCAATATTTAAAGACATGGCATATGGCATTTTCTCAAAAAATTGATTTTAAAAGTTCCACGTCTAAAAGATTTCCAAAACCTTGTAGTATATCTTCATTTTATCTTGAAATTTACTATGGTATAAAATTTCTACAAATCTTTTTCAAACAAATTAAATAAGATTAATAAGTTGAAGGCTACAGTTCCTACCGAAGATATGTGATCGTTAATTTGTGGACCATCTGTACAGTGAGCAATAGGTTGTCTGTTTCGATTTTGATAAATTTTGTCAATTTTCTTCCTAGTCTCGGCAGCAAAACTCCAAAAGCACTTTCCCAGAAAAATCGTATATGCATGTTAACATCTTTTGACTGGAAAACAACAACATTTGTCCTTTTTTGCATCTTATTTTTAAAAAATAGGCCTTTAGGGCGCTTAGCATCCATCTTCTGTTTCAATTGTGAACATTTTCTCTTTGTATGGATTACAAAAAAAACGTTGCCGATTTTATGATGAAAATTTCGTGGATTTTAAAAATTTTATGGAAATAGAATTTTGTTTAAATTTTGATCATTCATAAACCTTCCTTGGAGTCATGTAAGGGATGTAAAGTTCCAGAAAAAATTTGGGCCGGATCGGTTCAGCCGTTTTGACGTTTATTGGTCACAAACAAACAGACAGACAAGCAAAGTATATATATATAGATAGATAAAATAATCAAAATAATCAATATCATACAATTGTTCACTTTATTAAATCAATAACATGAATTCTCTAGATCCAGCAACTAATTTAAAACTTTTCTTCTGGCTGCAAATTTTTAGCGTATTCTATAACACGTCCGTACTTGTTCTTATACTTGACTTTCATTGTTTTAGGAATATTTTTCTTCTCCTTCTTGGTCTTTTTAGATTTGTGCTTTTTCAATTTTTTCAGCTTCCTCTTAGAGATCTTGAGAACTAGCTTGGGACTGGTTATCTCTGTAAGCCTACTCCTTGGTATGGTAAGTTTGATCGGGGGTGATGTGGACTGTGATGAAGAAGATGATGATGCATGATTTCTGATCTTAAAATATTTGCTGACGTTGGCGTCATCTTTTTGATCCTCTCCGCTCTTATCAACGATCATCTGAATAGTTCCGTTTTTACTTATCATCGTTTTAATCCTAGAATTTATTTTTGAGGATTTCCACAGCTGATTTTTTCTCTCTCCCCCTCGTGATTTGAAAAGTTTTGGGCGGTTTAATCCAAGTCTTCTGTCTTCGTTACAGTTGGTGACATCATTTAGAACTTTCTTGCTTTTCCTTCGCACTCCATGATCTTCAAGTCTGCGCATGCGTATAAGCGGTGTTGCATCAAATGTGAAACTTTTAAATGCCAAGGGGCGATTTAGCAAAGGATTCCTAGCAAGTTTATTCATGGATGTAAGAATGCGTGTCATAAAATACCGTTTGTCCCCTAACCTTCCAGAGCTTTGTTTTCGGCCACCCTTAACCTCAGTAGTATTAGGATTAGTTAATGAGTCATCAGCCTCAATCTTTTGATCAGGCGTCATTCCGCTATCTAGGATAAAATTAGGCAGTCCAACATAGGACTCTTCTGAACAAAGATTTCTTTCAAGTTTTCCTGGAGATTCCTTGAAAATGTGATTATCATTGAAGATGTCTTTGCGGAAACTTATCTTGAGACGTGGAGGATCATTGCCGGACTTGAGATCAGTTTTCAGCCCTGACAATGGAACTTTGACATCAGACGTTTGAGAAGTATTCGGGGAGATTTCTTCACTTTTACACTTTGGAGCGGGAATGATTAAATTTTCTGAGGATTTGTCCATTTTAGACGAGTCTTTTGGTTTCTTTGAGTATATTAGTAGTCTTGGCCTTTTGGGTTTCTTGGTTTGGGTTTCATCAAGTTGGTTTAAAGATGAATCAGGAGAGGAATCATTTGTTACCAATGAATTGATAGTGGCTGGATCCATCAGTTCAGGATCAGGAATCCTCGGTAAAATTGGCATAGAAGAAATTAGGCTTTGAGTATCATTTTGAGATTCGATTGGTACATACATAAATGGTACATGAGATACATAAGGTAGAACTGGTACTATAGGAGCCACTAGGAGAGAGGGAGAGGGACTATTAATGGCTAGCGAGGGCGCAGTGGCAAATACTGGAAGTAGTAAGTTTGAATCAGGTACAGTTACAAAATGGTTGTCAGCAGATACATCAGTTATATCAGCTGAAGAATTAGCATTAGGAGTATATGGCTGGGGTTGAACGAAGATATTCTCACTGATTTTTGATTCTCCGTATTGTTCATTTCTGACATTAGAAGAATCCATTACAATTTTAGATGCATCAATCCCGGAGGAATTACAAATAAGAGTTTTATTCTTTTTGGTGATAGAGCAACCTTTAAAAGGTTTAGATGGAGATTTTAAACTATCATCAATAGGTTTAGATGTAGATTTTGACCTCTCATCACTAGGTTTAGATGTAGATTTTAACCTTTCACTAGGTTTAGATTGAGATTTTGATCTTTCACTAAGTTTAGGTGTAAATTTAACCCCTTCACTAGGCATAGATGTAACCTTGGAAGATTCAGATGTTATCTCACAATCTATAGGTTTGCTTGCCAACCTTTCTTCCGAAGGTTTAGCTTCTGACGTATCCACAACAGGTTTAGTAATAACCCTGTTCTGTTCTGACAAAGGTGAACTATTTTTCTCTGAAGGTTTAGTTGAAGAACATTTCTCTGTAGGTTCAATTATTGACATATTCTCAATTGATTTTGTCCAACTCTTCTTAGATTTAGGTTCAGATGTAGTCTCTTCTCTTACCGTCACAGTTGAAACATCTTTTCTATCATCAGGCAAAGACATTTTTTCTGCTGAATCCGCTCTAGACCATTCTGAAGATGATTGAGAACTTTTGCAGACTTTTTTACTTGTGGATAAATCTTGAATACATTTTGAATCCTTTAGTTTAGATAGATGTTCCTTGCTGGATGAGGGGAAAGAACTGACAAAATCTTGAGTAAGAGATCGTTTGGATCTAGGTTTTGAGGGGTTGGAAGTTGGCGTAGACTGTTTGAGTTTATCTTCATGATTCTTAGAACCTAATATATCAAAATCTTCGCCGGGATGTATAGTTTCATGAGGTTGCTCTTTAGATACTTCGGGTTGAATATCAATCATAGGATCATCAGTTACTAATTCTTTGTCTGTAATGTCTTGAAGATGTTCAGCTGTGTTGTTAGCTAAATCTCCGCTGTCTGTTCTTTGCTTTTTATTCATAGCTTCAAATGCACTCTCTCTGCGTCGCTTGAGCCTAAGAAGATCAGAAATGATCGGACTCTTCGTCTGGATCTCTCTCATTCGCGGAATCATCTCTAAGTACTCTTCCAGCTCAAGGAATGATTGTTCAGAGTCTTTAATCACCTTGATTAAAACTCGATTCTCAACTTGCGTTTTAATCTCCTAAAATAAATTTTTTAGATTCTATAAATTGATTAAAATTCAAAGATTCTGCTGTGGATATTGACTTGACTTCAGGTGTTAGACATTAGTGATCTCGTAAGCAGTTCAACCCTCTTATTAGTTGGCATTTGACTTTCAATTTTGGAACGGTTTTAGCTGACCTCAGTTTCAATCTTAAATGTTTGGGGCCTTGTTTTATCTTTAAAATCCGTTGGAAAATTTATTTAAAAACGAAACTTTCACTTTGCAACCTTTTCCCCAATTTTTCTGAATAAAAAAAACTCAACAGTCCATTGGAAATTTGATTTTTTCAACCGTTTAAAATCAGAGAAAAAGTATTGAAAAATTTCTAGAAAAACTTCCGCGCCTAATTATTATTATTATTATTATTAGACAGCCCAGCATTCAATGAAATAGTGGTCGGCGCACCAAACCGCCGAAACGTATCCATGGACAACACAGCATTAAACAAATTTGTTTGCAGAAAATTGAACCTTTTCTTTAATCTATAAGTATTAAGTACTTAGAGATGTTTCCAACCAATTAAAAAGTCAATACCAACCTTCTGTAATTTTGTTACTTCAGGATTTAATCCCAACTCAGTAGCTGAGGCTGTTTTTGATCCAATAGCTGTAATATACTTTGAATTTAAACTGGTCGCCGAATCTGCTTCAGGTTCTACTGATGATGTGTTTGGTGTAGGTATTGATGATGTGTTTGGTGTGGGTATTGATGATGTGTTTGGTGTGGGTATTGATGATGTGTTTGGTGTGGGTATTGATGATGTGTTTGGTGTGGGCATTGATGATGTGTTTGGAGTGGGTTTTGATGATGGTGTGGGTATTGAGGAAGATAAAGTGTCGGATGAACTAGAGTTTGAGGAGGATGAACTATCTGTAGAAGTGTTCAAGGATGAAGTGTTCTGGGTAGTTGAAGTTGAAGGAGCAGGACTGGAAGTATGGGTTCTAGGAGTAGGAGTAGGTATACTCGGAGAAGGAGTAGGAGTAGAAGGTCTACGATCAGAAGTAGGAGTAGATGTTGGTTTTCCATAAGTAGGAGTAGGTTTTCCACTGGATGCTGTAGGAATAGGTATTTCAATAGATGCTGTGGGTGTAGGAATTCTAGGAGAAGTAGGAACAGGAATCCCAAAAATAGGAGTAGTTATACTTGGAGTAGTATTTATTCTAGTATTTGGAGTAGGTGAGGGACTCCTACTTATTGTGGGTGACACCATTTCATCTTCATCAAAGGAAATCCTAAAAATTGTAATTTATAAATATTTTTAATATGAAAATATAAAACGACACTATTTGGACTTCATTTAGAATAATCCTTTCCTCATCTTTACACTTGCAATAAAAACAACTAAAATTTCTTTTTGACTCCTATACCATTGAATTGTGAAAAATGACTTTAAGAGGGGAGAAAGAATTTCTTTTTCAAGAAAATACGCTAATATTTAAAAACATCATTAAATTATGATTTAAATTTGGTTTGCACCTGTGAACGATATTCATGATTTCATCATCAATTTCAGCATTCTCAGCCTTTTCAGCAACAGTTTGAAGTTCAGGTTTAAAAGTATCTTTGGAATTATCCTCCCTCCGTTCTGTAAAAGGAAGCCTTGCAGATCTCTGGTGTTTTGGAAGTCTTTTGGGTTTTAAATACCGCAAAGCTGGCAAATATTTCTTGATTCTTGTACTTTTCACTTTGTCGTTAATTTTGGGAGCGAAGTTACCCAATTTCACTTTAAGACTTGACTCTATCACATTAATACTTGGCAGTTTATTTTGTTCTTTACTTTTTTCATTTAAACTAGATTCATTCAAATCAATTTTATCCACTGCTAGTTTAGGGGTAGAGAGTGGCTTACTCTTAACTTCCTTCTTTTTCTTCTTTTTGGCAGAAGCATCACTATCGATGTCATCCAGAGATTTCAAATTGAGAATATTTGGAGCTGTCACATCGAGTTTAACTTTTACAAGTTTTACGATTTTGACGTTTTTATTTTTTTGTAAAAATATACGCAGCGTGCCGTTCCCAAACTTTTTATTGGCAGTTTTCTTGAGTTCTTTACTGGTTCGTGGACTAGGGGAGGATCCAATAATCGGAGTTTGTGAAGATGATCTGTTCCAGATGGTTTTAGGTAGGTCTCGTGATGTTGGTGTTCCTGGATTAGAGGAGGGTCCTGGAGGTCGTCGTTCTAGACCTCCAGACTTTCTGATTGGGGTAGATGGAGCAGATACTGATCGATTTAGTGGAGTTGGAGCAGGAACTGGAGATTTAGGGGTGGAAGATGAAAATGGAGTGTTAAAAGATGAATTACTAACTGATGTGTCCACATCCGAGGAAGTTAAGGAAGGAGAACTTGTCGAGGCTGAAGATGAAGTTGACGGTGTTGATGATGTGGAAGGGGAAGGAGAAGTTTCCGTTCTAGGTTTAGCCGTTCCCTCTGATTGCACTGGAGTGGTTGGTCTGCTCACATTCTCACCTTCAGGCACCAGCCGGGGATGGGAACAGAGGATTTTTCGCGGGTTTTTCGGTGGACTAGGATTTCGCACATTTTTAGTGATTTCTAACTTTTTTGGTATATTTTCTCCTCGAGTTCTTGATCTGGGTAGACGAGAGGATGGTTGGGAGGATGGAAGGGTACAGGAGGAACAAACATATTCAGGGGAAGATAGTTTCAGTTTTCCACAATCAATATGCACTCCTGGAACAGTTTAAAATATAACACAGTTAAAAAGTCGAATAAGATGCTTTTTTAGTCATCCGCTCCAGCTACCCCCCCCCCCCTCCAACTCTTTAAAAAAATCTTTGCTGGAAAATTAATTGTTGTTGTTTTTCAATAAGTCAAAAGTCGATGAAGTGTCAGTCAGCCAGTTGCAGTCATTTAAAGGTCAACTAGTCAGTCAATCATTTACAGAGCAGTCAGTGAGTCATTTACAGATCAGTCAGTCAATCATTTACAGAACAGTCAGTGAGGCATTTACAGATCGTTCAGTAAATCATTTACAGAGCAGTCAGTGAGTCATTTACAGATCAGTCAATCAATCATTTACAGAGCAGTCAGTGAGTCATTTACAGATCAGTCAGTCAATCATTTACAGAGCAGTCAGTGAGTCATTTACAGATCAGTCTGTCGGTCATTTACAGATCTGTCAATAACTTTTTTATAGGTCTGTTGTTCATTCTTTTATATGGAGGTCTAGAACCGAATGTCCGTCCTTTCTTGCGCGCGTCCGTCCCTACCAGCGGAACCACATGAGCTGCAGAGTATGATCTCGTAAGCTGTATCTTGAATATCCTTCTCTCTCCCCTCCTCACACAAACATTCAGCAGCATCACATTTACCGTATCTTAACAGAACAAATCAAATCAAACATTTGAATTCAATAATAAAATGTCGATTTGAAAGTTTATTTAAAGTGCAAACATTTTTTGTGCAGGTTTATCCAAAATTTTGAGCGTTCAAGCAAAAAATTTAACAAAATTATTTAAGAATCAGGATTTTCTACGTCAAAAAACTTAATGTAGAGCCCACTTGAACATTAACAACAAAAAAATTTACTTTTGTCAAAATCGCAACTTAGATTAAAGGAGCTGTCGACGCAATCTCCAGTGATCCTCGGTTTATAGTATAGCACGCCGGATTCACAGATCTACCCGTTAAACCTTTGTCTCGTCCATAATGTCCAAGATATTGTCGTTTTCTGGGTTTAAAAATGTTGTATTCTGATAAATCTTACATGTTTTCTTGCAGTATAAATGCGCCAGTCACTTTAGATAACTACCAAATGAAAATAATAACTACTCAAAATTACAAACATTTATTCATACTTGATCAGACAAAGCTTTAAAGGGAACCGTTGTAAATTTGCATAAATAAGGTCACTTCAATTTACGCTTTCAGTCTCTTTAAAAACTCAGAATATTAGATTCTAGGAGTATTACCTCTCTAGTAGACCACTGTAGGCACTGGGTTCAGTTTCCCAGGAAGCATCCTGCTCCGGGACAAATACTCCGAACTTCTTCATCTCCTCTTCAAACCCATCCTTGCAGTTACACAGAGGACACTTGAAGAAATATCCAGCTGTACAAGCCAACCTGTACATAATTATATATATAGCTGTACAGTTACACAAGGGACACTTGAAGAAATATCCAGCTGTACAAGCCAACCTGTACATAATTATATATATAGCTGTACAGTTACACAGGGGACACTTGAAGAAATATCCAGCTGTACACGCCGACCTACAGATCATAGATATATAGTTGTACAGGGGACACTTAGGAAAATAACCAGCTGTACACGCCAACCTACAGTACATAAATATATAGTTTTTCAGTTACGAATGGGACCCTTGAAGAAATATCCAGCTGTACAAGCCAAACTTAAGTACATATCCAGTTGTACAGTACATAGATTTAAAATATATATTTTTTAAAAACCTTCGGATACAGTTGACGTGGAATAGACCACTGCAGCAGGGACTCCACACTGTTTCAACGCAAATATCAAACTTCTCCTCTTTCTCCTCTTTTTCCTCTTTCTTCTTCGACTTCTTCTCTTTCTCTTGACCTTCTATAGATTCAAAGCAGACTCCGCAGGAGGTTGGGACCTCCTTTTTCCCGGTAGGCGGGGCTTGTAGGAGGCGATGGGTGTGGCAGTAGGATGGAAAGGTATCACTGAAAAAGTTTTGATTTGTACTTTGTTTTTTTAAATATATTCCTTAAATATAAAATTTCTGGAATTTATTAGGTGCGCATCTTTTCAAGAATTACCACCCCCCCCCCTTCCCCCTCATAATCATTCATTTTAATAATTTTTATACTTTTTATCCAAATATCTGAAAAATGTTCCCGAAAAGTTATTTATTTTCCCGAATTGAGTGAATAAAACCCTAAAATAAAATAACAGTATTCTTAGCAATATTTTTACTTTTCCCAAAACTACATAAAAAATATTATTAATAAATAATTATCTTTTAAACTGACTTGAACTGGTATAAAGCTCCATGATATAGACCACAAGGAAAATGATAGGACCTATTTTCAACAAAAAGTATTTATTGTCGGAAAAAGAATTTAAAATTCAGGAAAAAATTAAAGATTTGAGCTTTCTCTCTTAATAGGAGTGTTCGCGAATAATGTACGGCGTACGGTGTTCTATCTTTTATGCATAAATACTTTTATGAAAACCTTCCAGCTTCCTTCCAGGATATGTTTAATTCTTTAGCTGAACCAAATAGAACAAAATCATATAAACTTGAACGGGTTCTCTTTAAAACCCTAGAATGTTTTCCCTCTGCTTTATTTCCAAAAATATGGAATTCGATTGAATTAGAGCTGAAAGAAACTAAATCTGCAAAATCGTTTAAAAGAAAAGTCGCCAAGATCTATCTAGATAGTTATGCAAATTATATCTGTAAAAAAAAAAAACTGTGTATCATGTGGATAAACTTAGTCTTTACTATCTTCATCACCCTGTATTTCATAAACATGATTTTAATAACTTATGTTATACCCTTTGTTCCAACCCTTACGCTGAGTATCCTCCCTTTCCCTTATACTCCCTCACCTCCTTCTTACCATTTTCCTGATTTATCATCATTCTTATGTTGAAAATGTACAATGTACATTGTTTTTATCTGCAATTCTCATTCGTTTATTGTGGGCCAACCAATTAAAACAACCTACTCTGGTTAGGCGGGTCCAAACTACATAGTGAATTGTGAATTTTTATTTGTATTATCTCGTGCTTTGTAGTTGAATAAAAAATATGAAATATGAAATATGAATAATCGATGGTGATTGCTACTAATATTACTTCTATCTGTTGCGTCTATAAGGAGAAAATTGTTAAAAACGACTCATACTGAAGAACGTAGTGTCCACACAAATTCAGATAGTTGCAACATAGGACTCGGATCGTAAACAAAATCAATGTAATTCCAAACAAATCATTCTGATATTACCAACCTATAATCATCGATATTTTTTCGACACATTCGCATATACTATATAGTTGATAATTCATAATATTTTTAATTTTTCATAATCTGAGAGTTACTAACATTTATTCCTGTTTCGAGGATTTTTGATAATGAAGATTTTTTATATTTTCCAGGAATGTTTGAAAATCTAACCCCAGCCGTGAAAACATGTAAGCGAAGCGAAATATTATTTTAAAAAAATATATTATGAAATATCAACTATATACGAATGCGTCGAACAATTATCGATGATTATAAGTTGCAGTATCGGAATGATTTGTTTGGAATTAAATTGATTTTTTACGATTCGAGTCCTTTGTTGCATCTTTCTGAATTTGTATGGACGCTACGTTCTTCGGTATTCGGTATTAGTCGTTTTTAACAATTTTCTCCTGATAGAAGCAACAGATAGAAGAAAGATTAGTAGCGATCAACTTCGATAATTTTTTGCCATAAGCCACTACCCCTTTCATTTTTTACGAACACTCCCTTTAACATGGAACATAAAAATATACTTAAACGGTCTGTCGTTGTGATTCTAATCGACCCTCCACTTAAAGAGGGGCGGCAATTGCCTATTGTCCAATTTACAACGGTGCCCTTAAAACCTTAATCTGACGGATAACGCCGTTTTTCTAACTGAAGAAGCGTTGAATTCTCAATTGTTTCTTTGAAGAGAAAATGATAAGTTTTCAAAAATAATAACATCGTTGATAATCGGACATGACACTATCGATGGAGGGTCACTTTAAATTACGTTTACATTCCCTTACAATCCTGGATAAAATATTTTCAATTTACTGAGTTACTTTGTGAGATTATCACAAACTTAAAAATAATTTTTTGTCTTCTTTAAAACGATGAAAGTTTGAATAAAGAAACGAATTAACATTAAATGACTTTTTTTTGTTCCTTTTGCATTTAGTATCCAGACACCCAACTGTAGCTCCCTTCTTCTTACAGTAAAAACAGTTTAATTTTTTCCCTCTACAATCAATCAATATATCAATCAACCAACCGGTACGCGGGGCTTGTAGGAGGCGATGGGTGTGGCAGTAGGATGGAAAGGTATCACCAACTGAGGCAGGTGTGTCTATTTTTATTTTTTTAAGAGATGATTTTTAAAGATCTGGAGAAAAAAAATAAGGCAAGTTTTTTCATCCAATTTCATCCGTTTTATTTAATTATTTCCCCCAATACAATGATTAAATCCCTGAAAAAATGGTTCCCTAGGGTAAAAAAATATTTTCTATAGGGGTGGGGGCGGGGAAATATTTTCAAGAAAAAAATACACCTTTCTAAAAGCCAAACATTTGGGCATACTATGATCTGTAAATATTGAGTCGTCAAAGCCTCCAAAATCTGATCTTATCTTGGATTAAGAATTAAAAATTTCGAGAACAAATTAATTTATTTATTTATTGATATATTCCTGTTTTTTTCTTTGCGTATATCAGGGTTTAGAAAACCCAGAATACCTTCATCATCCTCTCCGTTCTACAAAAATAGAGATATTCTAATGATTTCAGAAAAATGATAATTAAAATATTTTCTAAATATTATTACTAGCGAGGGTAAATCTATGGGGCACTTTTTTGATTGAAATGTTCAAATCCATCTTGCACAAGTCCTAAACTTTCTTTTATGTTTAAAAAAGAATTCAAGGTCATTAATTCTTTAATTTTTACAATTTTTAACAAAAATTGTAAAAAAAAATTTATCAACTTTCTCATTTTAAAACTCTACTGTTTTATTCATTTGTTAACTACAGACTGAGTTTTGATTTTTACTATTTTTCTTTAATGAATGTCGCTTTATTAAAATTTGCCAATCTAAAATTGCTTGCTGGTGCAAAATATATTTGATATTTTTGATGAAAAAGCTTCACTCTAAGACTACTTTCCTGTTTGTACCTGTACAAGTGCACTGGCGAAAAGTAAGCAGAAATGATGAACAACTAGATTATCTCGCTTGTATAGTTTCCCTTCAGGGAGTTCATCTCTAGAAATTATATTAAAAACTAGAGTCTGAAAGGTAACTAATTAGAGGCTGAAGGTAACAGTCCATCTTTAGGTAATTTCCTAGAGAACGATTTTTGGACTAAGTTTTTGGAATTTACACTTATACAGTGATCCTCAAAAATTTTGTAAATCCTCCATTAAGAGTGTTATATATTAATCCTCCATCAAGAATAATGTATTATTACAATATATAATTAACTTACTTAGTTTTCCTGTCACAAATGTAGCAGATTTGGTCTAGATCGGAACATTCTAATTTTTCCATTTCATGCTTTTAAACATTCTTTAGATATCCCTGAAAATATATATTTACTTTTATTCATCTTTTGGAAAGTCCAATTGTTTGTGTTCAAAATTGGAGATAACTAAAACGGTATTATACAATGTCTTTAGCTATGTAGGAACAATGGATGTATATATGATCAAAACCATTAAAACCCCAATATCTCCCATGGACCATTTAAGCTATACGATCAAAATTGAAATCGTAAAATATGTTGAAGATAGAATCTAGAAATAAAAACAAACGAATCATATGAAAAAAATGATAACTGTAAAGATTGCATAGGTATGATGTAATTTTTCTCCGTATAAAAGTATGAATTTAATTAATAAAAATGCGGGAATATGTAGAAGATAGAATGATGTTGATATTGTGTATGTACAGTGTTGTGTGTGTGTGGGTAGGATGCCTGGCAGGCAGCTACGGCAGAGAGAGAGTAGAGATAGAGAGAGAGCTCTCAGCTGGCCACAGGGATAAACATACTCTCAGCTGGCGCGAGGGATAAACATTTTCTCAGCTAGCGCCAGGGATATTAATTTTTTCAGTTGGGGCCACGGGATAAATAAATTCCCCAAACTGGCATCAAGGAAAAATATTCTCTCATGCATCTGGTGCCAGGGGTAACTATTCTCACATCTGGCGCCAAGGGTAAATATTCTCTCAGCTAGCGCCAGGGGGAGGGGGGAGTCTGGAAGTCCTCAACGTGTAATCACCGCCACCCAAATGTGTTTTGCGGCATGGGCGCTCCTCAATTGGTAATCTCCACCACCTCAATTGGTAATCACCATAAAATTTTGTTTTCTGAGATTTTAATTTAATGCACTTAATTAACACAATTTTCGACATCCATCAGGGTTTTATGGCATCTGTATTGACTTATACTAAATTTTCAAATTGTTTTCAGATTTGCTTGGTCAACAAAAACTAAATCAAGGCACACCCAGCTAGCCAAATTGCGCAAAAAGCTCGCAATTTAAACGTCACTTTTGGCATTTTTACGTAAATTTTACGTCGACATTTTGGCTCTTTTTACGTCATGAAAGACGTAAAATCGCACACTTAGCTACGTAAATTTATTGGTTTTAGTAGACGTAAAATTTACGTAATAATATTATACAAATTTACGCCAAATGTGCGCATTTTTATTTTCTCAATTACCAAAAATTATGCAATTGATGCATGCAGATAGGCCATCCATCCCTGAATACCGATATGGTACTGTCTCTGAATTGTTTCCCTTCATCCTGAAAACAGTTCAACATAGAGATTATAGCGTCAAGCTTTATACTTGTATGAGAGTTATGAAAGATTATATAAAACTTTTTGATAGAAAATTCAGTGCATTTTCCTAATAAAAATGTTTTATTTAAAAAATTTAAAATAATTTAAAACCCAAATCTTGACTTCTAAATGATATATTTTTAGTAAAAAATTTAATCTGATCCTTTTTACTTTTTTTTAAATTTTACATAAAACAAATAGAGACACCTAGCGGTGAAATTTGGTACTAAAAACCAGTGTACTATATAGCACTGTAAATTCTCTGCCAATTATCCCCCCCCCCTTCCCACCCTTATCTACATATCACACGGCTTTCTATATAATATAACATTGCTGCACTCTGCACTATGCACACACACCTGGGCCACTCAATTCTTCAATATTTAAAACACTCAAAACATATGCGTAAAAAGAGCGCAATTTTTACGCAATTTTAATGCTAACAAAGACAACTTAAATTCCTTTTAAAAGTTTATTTTTTCAATTTTTTGGTAAAATGCAATATATGCCGTATCGGAAATTTTAGATATTTCACAAATAATTTAGATTTAGAGTTTTAGGGAATTACGCAAATTGAGCGTATTTTTACGCAATTTGTATGCCTGAAATAAAATGATACACATCTTCACAAATTCATGATATTTTTACTTAAAGCTGGGTTATAAAATATTTTCTTTAGAAAAATTAGATATTTACACTAATTTGAAATCTAGTCATAAGCAAATTTGCGTTTTAATTGCGCAATTAGAGCCAAAATAATATGCGACCACGCTATCTACGCAATTTGGCTAGCTGGGCAATTCATTCCCTAGAAACCAGAGGTTGACCCAACAAACAAAAACCAGTGAAGAACACAAAATTAATTCACGTGCTGTCGAGGTGAATGTCGATGATTTGATCACGGGTCTAGGACCAAGTTTTTACATGGCAAAAACTTGAGTTTATTTCACAAGAAGAACACGGGATTTTTACCTGAGAAAATTATTTTTCTCCCATCTACTTAAATCACTTAAATTACAATTTTTTTAAACCCGGGAAAGGGGGGGGGTAATAGCTTTCTAATATATGAATAAAATATAAAATATACTGTGTAAATGTATATAATTCTTACAAAATGTTCAGAAACTAAACATTCTAGTTTATATTTTTGACATTAAACATCTTAAACATGTAAGCTTTAAACTATTCTTATCACAAAGTGATATTTCAATTCAAAATAATGTTCGATAATGTTAATGTGTTCGTAATTAAAAGAATGCTCCTTCCCATATATATATAAAAGATTGATATTCCAAAAAGGGGTTGTTGAGAAATACAATACAAAACTTAATGTGAAACTTTTCTGTACTCTGCTCATGCTTGTTAAAATCTGAAAAATTTATGTCAGTTAAAATATTTCATATTACTACATTAAACTTTTTGTTTCTAAAAGATGAGCAGGACACCAATTGTTATGATTTTGCAACTCTATTAAAAATGAAACATGAAGTTCTTCCCGTGATATCTCAAATATTTTACGCATGATATTTACAAGAATTAAAATCTAGATATTCTGGCATTCCATTACTCATGATTAACACATTGGGAATATGCAAGATCTTGCACTGGTATATTTGCTACAAGCACAACATGTGAAAAAACAACAAGAATTAAACTAGAATTATCTCATAAATCTTACATGTGATAATTACGATAATTAAAATCTAAAATTCTGACATTGCATTACTCGAGTTTAACATGATAGGAATATGCAAGATCTTTCACTGGTTTATTTTGGTACGTGTAAAACATGTTAAATAACGACAAGAATTTTCAAACAATATTTTCGTGTTTTTTACTCGTGCTGTACACAGGAGGAATCTTCAAGATTGTGAAAAGTAGATTTACCACGAGTATAACACAAGGAGGGTCTGTGAATTAATCATGTGAATTATCAACCAGTTCTCCATCATGCTAATCTCATTGAAAACCTGTGTTTTGTTTGTTGGATTCCTATAATTGGACGTCATGAGGACGTCAATAATTATATACCAGTAGGATGTCTTGCATCTTCGTATTTTAGGTGTTGAGCGTTTAACGCAAGGATTCTTAAGTCCTCACAACCTAATTTTCGAAGTTGAAATGACGTTACTTTGGACGTCCAAATGACCAAACTTTTAACTTCCAAATGACCAAACTTTTGACATCCAAATGACCAAAGTTTTGATCCTGCCACAAATGCTGTAGAAAAGAACTTCTATTTATCACAAAATTCACAATTTACTGACATTGATTTTTCGGAAAACATCAATTAATTCCTTAAAAATCAGAATTTTCAAAAATGTTATTTTTTCAAATATTTGGGTATTATATCTTACAGTTCAATTCTTTTGAAAAAAATTATAATATTTGAAAATTCTAGCCATCCAAGGCCAAAAAGTGGCTTTTATTTAAATTTCAAGTGGAGACATCTAGTGGCAAAACTCAGAAGGTCCTAATCCAACCTAATATGACCTAAATCCGACTTAAGGGCACTGGTTAGGTTGTGACCAGTTATGACCAGTTTGGTAATCCAACCATGCAAGACCTAATCTGACTAAAAGGTCAAGTTATGAATAGTTAAGACCAGCTATGTAAAGCAACCAAGTTTGACCAAATCCAACCCAATCCAGTTAGGTCTCTTGACTTAACTCAACCAATCTCGACCAAATCCAACCTAAGTGAATTGGTTAAGTTAAGACTAGTATGAAAAGTTTGATCATTTGGACGTCCAAAGTGACATCATTTCGACTTCGAAAATTAGGTTGTGAGGACATAAGAAGCTATGCCTTAAACGCCCTCAACATGTCCTCAACACCTAAAATACAATGCCCCTGGACAACCCACTGGTAATTATTGACGTCCTCATGACGTCCTTAGGACAACCTCTGGTTTCTAAGGGGCCTGATTCAAGAATTAGATAGAGGTGGCTCAGACAATAAATGAGGAGAATGTGGCTCGGATGAGAAATTGTTGTGGCTAGCCTTCCTCCCCTCACAGTGGCAGGGATAAATATTCTTTAGGGGACACAGGATGATCATATTTTTAACAAATTGGTGTGAATCAAAATTTCTAAAAATTCACTTTTCAGTCCAGTTTCTCATGGAGCGATTATGACATATATAATTTTCGAAATTTACAACTATTTTATATCCATCTTTTGCGAATTGATAGTGAAACACGTCAATTAAAAGAAAAAGGTGTATTTTCTGCCAAGCTAAAATTTCAGAAAGATCGAGAAAACAAACAAAAATTTATGAAAGTCGTTTTCCTTTTAATTAAAGATTATAAAGATCGATTAAATTATGATCTTTGTTCTTTAAATGTGATTCTAAAAAATTCCTAAAAAATAACTCGACAAATTCGTTTTCAAATATTTAAGAAATTTTAAGTTTTTTTTAAATATTTAGATGAGTCATGTTTTTTTCGTAATGTGACAACGGGAAAATCCCCGAAATTTACAGTTTTCCACCCAAACCAAACCAAACCTCCGAGTACACTACTTTACTTTCAACTGAAAAATCGGACAGTCGAGCCAACTGTAAACATATCGATTATATTGTAGTGAAAACATTTCAGTTAAGGAATATCTTATATATAAATCGTATTTAGAGGATATTAAAGATAAATCTAGGATCATATTGACACCACAGATCATACGGAAAATGTTCGTTGGATTATCATTTTTCTTAACATGTTATGTTTAATTATCTAAAAAATTGCAATTGTAAGCTATTTCATTTAGTATAAGATATATGGCTCCCGGTCCCTCTTTTGTATTCGCTTTTTCATAATTTTTTCTTATCTAAAAACTTATTAAATGCATGTTATTGGCGTGTTATAAAGCTCTATAATTCATTTGTTTTCATTTGAGGTTTACTATAAGACATGGCCATTTCTGCACTAAGAAAGCCATGGAACAATTATTAGAATTAAGCACTTTTCAAGCTTGGAAATCAACGTCATCTTCCACATTTTTGATCAGATGGTTCAAGTGTACCGTTGTGAATCGGGTCGGTCGAATGTCCGTCCTTTAAATGGAGGGTGGTAATTTCCTAGAGAGCGATGTGCAGATTTCAGATTATAAAGTATACTCCATGGATGATGATAGGCGGGGAATGAGGTGTGGCGGACCCGTCCTTAAAAATCTTCAGGTAAAAATCTCAAAAATATTTTTTTCAATTTGGTTTGGTAATTTATCGCTTTGAAACTTTGAGATGATAAAATGTGTATGCATACTTTTTTTCTTAATCAAAACTATTCTATTATATTTTTTGAATTGAAAGGTTAGATTTAAAAAAAAATAATGTTTTGTTTTGTTAGGAAGAGGAAAGAATGACCCACAGTCAGAACGAATCCGACTCTGGATACAGGTAAATATTCCATGAGAGTTTAAGCTCTTGTCAAAATAACTAGTTTGAAAGCGAAGACAACAAATTTGCGAAATCGAACAAGCCAAAATTGCTAATTTTAAACCGGCATAACGTTGTCAAATTTTGTGCTACAACCCTCTAATTTATGTTCATCCATCGGAAATGTTGCATAGATTTTCAAAAATATAAAAAATCTAACTGTCTTGAGAGTTCTTGGAGCAAAATGATCGTGTATTGGTGGGATATCCTGCATTGTTTTTATTACATTCTACACATTAAGAGACTAGTCAATTTTAAAAGTTGTATTAAAGAAAACTTTATGGCTGATGCAAGATGGATATAAGAATTATTTATATAAAAAAGTGTCCCATGATAAAAAGTTGGACAGTAAGATTCAAACCACTTTTGTTAGTTTGAAACTACTTTAGAAAATTCAAAATTGAGTAAAATTGGATATTTATATTACTAGGCGCCCATCTTCTATTTAAATTATGAACATGTTCTTTTTGTTTACATTTTAAAACAAAGAAGAAAAATATTTTGCGGATTTTAAAAAAAAATTCGCGGATTTTCAAGAATTAAAATTTTTTTTCAAAAATAAAAACCTTTAAAACACATTTTTTTAAAAATTTTATCATTCATAAACCTTCCCTGTGGTCACATGATGTCACACAAAAAATTTGGGCCCGATGGGGTTCAGCCGTTTAACGTTTATTGGATACAAACAAACAAAAAGACACCCAGACAAACAGACAGACAAGCCAAATTTATAAATAGATTATTCAATTTTACAACTTTTCATGCTTTCTTAATTAAAATATACATCTAAAGTTATTTATCGTAGAATTATTATTAACCAGCTAAAGGGCCTTGCGTTGCCCGTGGGAAAAAAATTTGAAGAAAAAAATAGAATTTTTTATAGTTTTAACACCACCCGACCATGAGTGTCCACAAAAAATTACAGCCCATTTGGTCCAGCCGTTTGGCCGGCGATAGGCAACATTTATACACATACATCTTAACAATTTGTTTTTTATCTTCGTGATAAAAAAAATCTCAAGGAATAATAATAGTCTTAAAACATTTTTTAAAGAGTGAATATTTGCAAATTATCTTTATTCCATCTCGTGATCTGAGTTCGTTTCCCTTTTGTCCATTTGACAGCCCCAATTTTTTTTAAATAAACTTTTTTGTTATTTTATTTTCTTGTGGTTTTTAACAATTTAATCGATTTTGATGGTTATCATATCGTACTCTACAGAGGTTTGGTCCATCAACATCACAGAGTTATAAAATATTAACGTCTTGCTTTATTATATAGATGTATTAGTATGCAGATCATGGGGATACATTAGAACAAGAAAAAATATGAGATATTTCAGTTTGTTTATATTTAGTATAACCAGTGGATCTCCTAACTCCCATGAGGGTATACTGGATACTGAAGCAGGACCTGATATAGGAGATATGGACCAATTTACAGAAGAGGAATTCAGGTACACCATTTTATACTTAAAATAAATTTCGCGGGTTTTCCTGTTTATATTCGCAGATTTGTTGATTTTGTTGATTTTTCTTAATTCTGGTCGGCCTTATCATTTTATAAATAGCTCGATTCGGTTCTTTCGTTTCATTGGGAACAAACAATCCAACAGATTAAACAAGACATCTAAGGTGACCTTGAGATTAAATACCATTGATTTATTGATACATTTAGAAATAATCTCACGCATGTTTGATTAGACAAAGATTTTAATTGTACCGATGGTAATTGTACATACCGCTTAATAAATGGATAATTACCTGAAATTATGTCTCTACACTCTACACTGTACAGCCCCTGTTTTAACTCTTTTTAATCTAATATTACAAGTATATATCAGGGGATGGTAAAGAAATATATTTTTAACAAGATTACCACCCACACAAACACTCTAATCTCTAATCACAAAAATCTGGGTGTTATTGCTCTGATAGTAATTTTTTTTTGAAGTATTATTTTTCTAAACCCATAATTATTTATCTCTTTGAATCTATTTTGATTTAAATACTCCTAAACTGGTTGAGTTTGGACTGGGCAGTGTGTTAAACCTATTTATTCTATGAAGTATAGTATGTATACGCCCTAACCATACTATACACTGCATACTATTGCAGTTAAATCCCACGTATACCCTTCTATTAATCACCCACAGTTAATCCACTGTTACGCAGTGATAAAGGTTTCAGATTTATCTATTATTATTATTACATAACACACAGGAAACCCGATATGTGTAGTGCGTCAAAGGGGTTTTAAGGGTGCATATTTTATCGAAAATTTCTTCCCCTTTCCACTAAAGAAACTACAGACGTTATAATGTTATTTATGTTAGCTAGTATCGATAAAAAAAATGTTAGGGTTGTTTTTGCTAAATTGGTGGAAAATAGATTTTTTGGGTAAAAATTATCGAAAACAAATTTAAAAACTCGCCTTTTTTTCATTGTTTGGTAAATGGTTATAGATAATCAGGCTATAGGCTGATCTTAGACTGTATGATGGATTTGTTTTGTTTTTCTGGAGATCAGTTTACAGCGCATAATAAATATATTCTAATTTAGACCCACTACTGAGGTGTTTATTGGTCAGAATCTTGTAGTTCGGTTACGTCTATGATCGGTTTACTAAACATATATATATTTTAATTTAGACCCTCTACTGAGGTGTTAAGTGGTCAGAATCTTGTAGTTCGGTTTCTTCTAAGATCGGTTTACTAAACATCAAAAATAGATGTACTTCAGTCCCGCTACTGAGGTGTTAAGTGGTCAGAATCTTGTAGTTCGGTTTCTTCCAAAATTGGTTTACTAAACATCATAAATATATCTACTTTAGGCCCACTACTGAGGTGTTCAGTGGACAGAATCTTGTAGTTCGGTATCTTCCAAGATCGGTTTATTAAACATCATAAATATATTCTAATTTAGGCCCGCTACTGAGGTGCTTAGTGGTCAGAATCTTGTAGTTCGGTTTCTCCTAAGATCGGTTTACTAAACATCATAAATATATCTACTTTAGGCCCGCTACTGAGGTGTTCAGTGGTCAAGATTTGGATTTCTTAAACCAACATGGATCTGGGTCCAGTACTGTTTCTCATCTAGGTAGTTATTTTTTATCTGAATCGAGTACTGTTTCTCATCTACGTTGCCATTTTTTTTTATCGACAATAATTACAAAAATATCGTTTACACTATTGACTTAGAGGAAGGAAAGGGGAAAGTATTTGTATTTGTTAGGACAGTTGAAGCATTTATAAGCTTTGTTATTGTTTATGGAACAACTAATTCCTAGCTGTCCTAATACCACACTGTAGTTTATAGTCAATACTCTACTCCCGCCTCAGTTTTTTTTTCTCAGTGGCAATTGTTAAATTTCTGTATTTACTTAAGCAAATAGAAGTTTTGATTTTTGCCTAAAATTGCGGTAGAGAAAATATCTAGTAATTTTTAAATCTTCTTTTCTAGTTCTTTAAGAATAAAGGGACTTCTAATGGTTATTGTTGAACATTTACAAACAAGAAACTTGAAATAAATTCATTACTCTACTCCCCCCTTAGTTTTGTTCTCTGTGCCAGAATGTGCAGTCCACAATCTACATAGTTAAATTTCTGTAATTTCTTTTTTGACTTTAGAAATTTGAATGTTTGCCTAAAATTGCGCGAGAGAAAAATATCTAGAAATTTCAAGATTTAGTTAAAATCCTATTTTTGAGTTCTTAAAGAAGACAGGCACTGTTTTTTGTTGATAATTTGCAATCAAGAAATAAATTTATAAAATGTTTTAACAATTTTTTTCTATTTCAGCTCGTCAAAGCCTCTACGTGAAGTTTGACCCTTTGATAGGTGGGCGACCCAGTGTACTAGGTCAGTTTATAATGTTTAATCAATTAATCGTTCTTTTAGGGGGTTAAAATCAGTCAATTATCGAGGGGGGTTTAGATAAATCAATTATTGAGGGGGTTTAATAAATCAATAGTCAAGAGTCATTCAATCAATCAATTACTGAGGGGGGTTAGATAAATCAATTATTGAGGAGGCCGAGGGGGTTTAATAAATCAATAGTCAAGAGTCATTCAATCAATCAATTACTGAGGGGGTTACAGAAGAGGAATTCAGGTACAACATTT